TTGGAGGGATCAAGGTTGGATAGATGAGGAAGAGTAGATGGGGGAAGGTGGTTCCGAAATATGTGCCGTCAATGGAGCCATGTCAGGATGATTTAAGTGAGTAGAGGTCTTCACAGCGGCCACAGTAGAGTTTTACAGATTTTTCATAGGGGATGTCAGTTAGGCCTATGGGGAGGAGGGGTTGTTGGAGGCAGAAGATATGTGGGCAGCAACTGAAGTCAGCTTGTTTGTATTTTTTTGAGCTGAGTTGGAGGTTAGATGGTGTGAGAGGGGGATGGGGGGAGGAAGGGGGACGAACCATTTTGGAGAGGCTGCAGGCTGTGACTATCCATTGGGCATGTATGAGGCCGTATAAAAGACGTCTTTGGACGTCAAGTGAGCTTCGAAGTTCATCTTGGATGTCATCGTCTGGTGTGATCCATCAACAGACTGAATAGATGTGGATGAGGAGGAAGACTGACCTGAATAAGATTGAGGGCCTGCAAGTAATTCGCGACCTCGTTGTTTAGGCCTGTCAAGTTGAATTGGTCGAGGATAAAGTCCTCCTTCACAGAAGTATTCGTTGCTTTTTGATGAGAGAAACCGTGAGATCCATTAGCGTGAGGATGGGTAAGCACTTACCCAGGGTAAGTGCTCACGAGCCTAAGACCCGCGCCTACGGCACGGCGCTCGGCCGTTCCTTCACCGCGGGTCACGGCTCACCGGGGGCAAGCCCCCTGGACCCCCTGGTACACATCTTCAATCCCAGTTCCAGTACACATGTTTCATCCCAATCCCCATGTACATTTTTTATTCTAATCTTTATATGTTGGTGTAAATTACTGGTACATCTACATATATGATAAAATTTGCATCACAGTGGCAATTTTTCTGATATCTGTATGTGCCAAGTCCACAGTGCAGTGTGTTGGGCCCCAAACCCTGCTTCCACATAGCCAATAACTTGGCTGCTCCTACAACATGGGTCATAGCATGCTGGGGCAGGCACTCTAACTCCAGTTTTTTGACATACCATCCTGCAAATTCAAATTGGTTCTGACTACCCATTAAACAGAGTGTTGAATATTTATTATAAATGGTACTACTTCCGATTTAACATCTCTTACTGCTCTACCATGCCCCAATGTTTCTCATATTTTTGTACTGTGAACCCTCTCTTGTCATGCTATAAGACACCAACACATACAATAAATATATTTCTAACATGACCTTCCCTTACCTCCTCAGCTTTCCCAAAATCCTATTGGGCCAGAAACTATAGACTTCTAGTAGTTTTGAGAAATTAGATTATTTCTTCCTAGGTTTCTCATCTCCATGGAATAAATTGACTAAATCTTTACTTATACTGTACTAATACGACCAACTGTTCAGGCCCCTTGGGGTGTGACACCTTTTGACCATCTCTTTGTCGCTTCATTGTCCTGTGTGATGTGTGACAAAGAGTTTTTGCTCTTCATCCACCACATATTTCTCAGATGGTTTGGCCCAGCAACCTGTCAATTTTTTGGCTGCAAGGTAAGCATGCATTCCTCAAGTATAACATGATTCTAAATATGCCAAATGTGATGTTTAAAATAAGGCACCGCAGGTCCGGAAAAAAATGACTATTTTTAATTCAAAAAAAAACTCTTCAAAACTTGGTGTGATGCGTGACATCACGCCTACTTCCCTTCCTTCACAACCCTTTGTGATGCGTGACGTGAAGACATGGTCGTATTAGTACAGTATTTGTGGAACTTCCTATGTCCTCTCCCAAATCAGCTCTCTGAGTCCCCATTTTATCTGGAAGATTTTTAACTCTCTGATTTATACATTTTATTAAATCTATATAACTCCAAGCCTGTTGAGAATCTTCAATAATAAAACTATGAGCAACTTACTGAGTTACAAAAATACTAATCTTTGAATTTCCAATTACATATTGAATTAGATAGAATACTTCAATATATAGCTTTGAGAGGTGCACATATCCAACACTTCCCCAATGAAGAGCTGGGGTGAAGGGATAAAATTCTGACATAAAACAACAAACCCATCCAACATACTCTCAGATGTGATAATAAGCCTCCAAAGATTATAAGCAGGGATGTTTAGAGTAACATTCCCAATCTCTCCCTGGAGTGAATTGAAATTAAATAGTGCACATGCAAGAGGGGAAGAAAACAGAAACCCAAACATGATGATGGATAGATTACAGAACTAAGTGATTAGATCAACCAACTATAAAATTGTGATAAGTGACCCACCCAATGATAAATATTTTCTGACTGTAGAGCAGAGCTGATAGATTCAACCACAAAGAGCAGGCAATGTAAGAAAGTTTGTACAGAAATAGAATTTACACCTCTATGTATGTGCCTACAAACTGGCCTCTCAAGCAAGAGAGCATTTTAAAATATGTATAAAATACAGAGAAATATTTACCCAGAGTTGAGGAGGGTAGATGAGGTCAAGCTCAATATAAAGATGTGAGGTTCAGAGTGATTATATAAGATTTGTCATCGCTGAGTCAGCTGAGTCAGCCTTACTCAGCCATCAAAAGGCTAAAAACATTGTGCCATTCTATATAGATGATAAGCATAAGTAGTGGAATGCAGAGTTGACGTCGCAGCCACTAAAATGGGTCGCGACGTTGTGGCCGCTAAAATGGGTCGCGACAACTTGTCCGCTAAATCCCACGATACAGAAAATCTGCGAAAGTTGTACTTTGTATTGCTTTCTGTCGTGAGGGCCTAACCAATCGGGTGGACTTGGGGCAGACTTCAAATTGAGACTAGTGTTTGAAAGTCCGGTTCGGTCCGGTTTTTTGATGCCCAGGGGCATTAACCGTAACCGTAACCGGTCTGCCTTTTCCCCAGAAGTCAAAAGACCAGACCAGACCGCAAAAAGACCGCAGACCGCGGTTTTTTGCGGTCTATAGACTGGTTTCAGTCTGCATCAGTTTTAACCGGTTTATGACCGGTCTTTAGGCCAATATTTTAAAATTATGAATCGGTAAATTTATTAACATCTCTAATAGCTTCAAAACGAGCCCAAGAACGTTAAATTCCGTTAGGAATTGGTGCTTCTATAAAATAAGTCTGGTACATCTATTATTCCCAAACGTAATTTACATTTTAATTCATATCTCTCTCGTTTTTTTACCAAATCGTACGTTCTTGGGTGCGTTTTAAAGGGTATTTAAGAGGCTATAAAAGACCGGTTCACGTTAACCGGTTTTTTTGCGGTCTTTACATTTCAAAAATAAAAGACCGTAACCGCAGGTCCGGTCTTTTGCGGTCTTGGTCCAGTCTGGTTACGGTCTTTTTCCAGTCACGAGACCGGACTTCCAAACACTAATTGAGACATACGTCCTGTTGAATTACCTCTATACATGATGCCATACCTAATTTCTACATAACAGAGATACCATTCAGTAAGAAGGAGATTGAGATTCTCACACATTTTGGGAATTTTACAGTGTTCCTCAATGTAAAAGATCTGGTATGTACGTAGTCTGGGCCTTGTGGTAAGGTCAACATGGGCGTAAAAATAATGGTCACATTTTGTTCCCACGGACTGTGTCGCCTTGTTAATCAGTTGTGCTTCGTCGACGAATTATACGTGTTTTCACTGGCAATAATGCCTGAAACACCTGCAACCAAAAAGTTTACATTCAACTCTGCAGAGGGGTGGGCCCTCTCCCGCCAAATCCAACATAAACACGTCATCTGGTCCACATGACTACCAACTTCAGGGCATTACCTCAATGCTCGACGGAAACAACCTCCTTGCGATCTCGGCAACGGGATCAGGGAAATCTGCATATATGTACATGCTTATGCATGTCATACTTGCTATCCTGGAGGATCCTACCCTTTGTCCATCTGCGAATTTTCCCTCCAATCCAGCCATTCTTGCTATATATCCAACAACTGCATTTGAGGAAGACCAGGTATTGGCTCTTCATACCTCTAATGTCATAAATATACTAATCCTCAAATCTAGGAACAAGCTGGGAAGGACAGGGAATAAGGAAATGGAGAGAATGAGCTATTTAAAACTCCATTGTAGTTCCAGAATGGGGTAGGAGTGATCGGTGCAAGAATATTTTGTTGATGAGGTGTCTCAGGTGGGATTGGGGCCGGTTTCACGGACATTGAGCCATGGAAAACTCGAAATTGCAACCTCTATTTCTGTTTGATCTACAAGACGTGTCACGCGAAGCGATCACATGACAACTTTTTTTTTAACGGGCTGCCTTGAACCGTGGGAATAAATGCCGTGAGAATAATCTACGCCCATGTTGCGGGCGCGTTTGAAAGCAGACTCCATATGACAGCTGAAGGCAGAACGATAGGCCAAGCCAGATCGACACATGCACAGGGCGGACCCTTAAATTTTCAAAGTGATGTGATGGCTGAGGCCGCTGAGTTCTCACAGGGTGTGAAATTTCAACCTCCGGATTGATGACACCCTATACCACCATAAAATTTGAGAGTCCGCCCTATGTTTGTGTCGATTTGGCATGGCCTATCGTTCTGCATTCAGCTGGAAATTGATCGACTATCATCAACTTCATATCGGAGTCTGACATCGGGAGACTAATATGTACGGAGCATGCTATGTGGCCATCAAGGATTTGAAACTCAGTCAAAGTTGTAGTGGGTGTGTCGACGGTCGGTTGTAGCAAGGGCATTTACCTGTCAGAGTTGATTCACTAAGGAAAGTTGTCGTGTGGTGAAAAAAAGTGTTACGGCGTAGCGTTGCGGCCGCGACGTCAACTCTGCATTCCACTAGTATCAACTTCAAGTGTTCGCCAATTTATTCAGAAGAAACAAGTCCACACGCGGCTTGCGGCTTGTTTGCCAATTTACAAGTCCAACTTCACGGCAACGCATGTAGAGTTTGGGGTTCTCCTTAGGTCAAACGGGTTATTGGTACGCATTTTAATCTCATTTTGGGACTTTGCCTGAACTACGACATATAAAAAAGGCACTCTTACATCACTACCCTCAACCATGGTTATGCGAGCTATGGGCATAACCGTACGTCCTTTCCTCTTCCCCAACATCCAGGCTTAATTCGCCATTAGAGATGAACCTCTCACACGTCATCGCGTCATCACAGAGTTCGAATCCATACACGAACGTAGGTACCTCTTCTCTTTCCAATACCCCACCTAACCACCCTCAAAACAGGTTTCGTGTCCTATCAATACTTCCTACACGTCGTCCCGACAACCTATATCGCCCCTCCAAACGCACCAATACACCGTAACGCACTACTCCCGCATAGGCATATTCAAATTCGATCTGGACCCACTTGTCGTCCGGAGCTAAAGTGGGACCTCAGATCGAAATGGGGCGGGGGCGGACTCTGGGCTTCGACCCACGAGCGGCAAGATGGTTCCTCATGGGAGTGGCCGGGTTTTGGAAGGGTCAAGCACGTCGCCGTATGCTAGTTACACCAATACGCTGCTTACGGGTGGGTTCCCTCCCTGCAACTGCTCCTCAGGGTGAACAGTCCCTTTGTGCGGGCTCCTCGTATTCGCACCTCTTTCTAATCATATATGGCTACCTTGGGCAAGACGACCCCAATCCGAAGATGGACACACCTCATAAAACGCCCTTAAAATATGCAAAGTCCATCTAGCGACCTGAATAGCGCCGGCCGAAATGTTTTTTCCCTGATTAAAGACCCATCTGCGGAACCGCCCCCTTTTGAAAGATGCAGGCAGTCTACGCTTCGGCTTCCCTCAACACGTTGCTATAAACCCAGTTCTCCGCACTTTTCTGTGACAAGCCAACGAAGCGAATAGGATGCGAAGAACGCCAAACAGTGCTCCTCGTGTTTCTTGTAGGCATATACACCACCAGCCATGGTGGCAATTCCTGCAGCCGAACCACCAGCGATCTATGACGCGATGTGGGTCTGACTCAACAGATGTGTCGTGTCACCCGCCTCAAGTTCTTCCTGTGCTTTTTATCATCCAACCAACCTTTCTTCTCCTCGGCATGGGGTGCCTCTGTCTTACGATATAATCCTTTTTTGCCCAACCCTTCAGTGGCAGCCGGACATGGAGGGATTGACCTTGGGTTCCCTTTGGCACCGGCAGTATACGCGCTTCTGCGAGGTTAAGGTCGAGCGGTGGGTTAAGGTCGGGCGGTGGACTAACGCCGTCTTATTCGCACTTGCCGCCTGCTCCGAATCCTGTGATTACTACGACTGAAAATGAGAGTGGGGATGTAAGCCATCCACCTAGAAGACCGACACCTGTTGGGCCGAAGAAGGACGATCGACGTGGATGGGGAAGAGCGGCCATCCTGCATATACTGTATGTATTGGGCTTCTTGTCGATTTGTAAAACTCAAAATCAGCTATCATTGAAAAGTCTCGTAGGCGAAAACATTGATATAACATGTATGCAAACGTGCAACACCTGAATAAAAGACAAGAGCGGAAAACACAGGAGACGAAACACAATCCGAAAACCACTCAAAAACCTTCCTCGCTCGCACCAACAATCAATCCTCAACCCCAATCATCTTCCTAACTAACGAATCCAACGTCCTCGTCCTCAACCATCCCTCCAGGCTCAACACCATCTCATTCTTCGTCCCACCCACTACAATCGCCGGGTTGCTCTCTACATGCGCAGATGAATTGCGTCGAAGCGCAGCACACGACGGGGCGCTGCACGCCTCTGGGATCAGCGGGGAGGACGGGCGTATGAGGTATGCTTCTGGTATACCTTTGGATAAATCAGCATCAGAACGTTGCGAGAGACAAAGGGGAAATGCTCATACTATCAATGCAAACCTCACATCCCCACGGAACCTCAATATCCACAACCCACCCACCCCTTCTCATTCACCCTCTTATCCGACGTCGTCAACCCGTTCATGTCGATTCTGGTATCCGCGATGGAGAGGCAACATATTTTTGAGAAGAGGAAGATGGCGGGTACGGATGTATTGTTGATGTTGGGGTTGTTGGCGAGTTTTAGTTGGGTCAGGGTGCGTTTGAATGGGATGAGGTATACACTGTGTGTGAGAGAAGGGCCCGTTAGTAAGTATAGAAGGAAGGAGGGGAGGGAGGGCGGAAGGAGGGAAAGGAAGACAAGACTTACGCTTGACTTACGCCTCGTTTCCTATTCCTGTGTTATTCAAAAAGAGACTGTAAATCTTGGGGAGGTGGTGGATATGGATATGGATGAGGTCGCAATCGTGTACGCTGAATGAAAGCTCGGTTATTGAGACGAAAGTGTTGGGGGTGTTGAACGCTGCGTGAATGAACAGGCAGGATGGAAGATAGGGCGTAAAAACAGGTCTTTCCGGCATAACTGAGGCCATTATCGTCATAAAGAAGATTTACGAGGGATATACGCTCCACGTCGGTATTATTTACGCAGAATGTCGAGGAAGTGGAGTGGACGCGGCGGGCCGTTCTTCTTTGACCTTGCACCATCACCGGCACCCTCAAATGGCAACCCTCACAGACCTCCCTCACTCACTAGAACCGGGCAGGAGGATGACCTGGCTCAGACCTGGTCTACAGTTCCAAAGAAAAGCATCTTGCCGCTGAACGAAATGAGCAAACGCCACAACAGTCTCTTTCTCGAACGTACCTTTACAGTGTCTTTCACTGCCGTTTGCACACATGAATCGTAAATTTCGTGTTTGCTTCTGTTGTCCTCAGGGTTTTTTTGTCACACATTGGCCCAGAACGGATGAGTTTTTCTTAGGGATCTTGAGTGAACCAGCGTCCGACCTCACTCTAGCCCTTGCCCATGACAACTCAAGTCTCTGGATACATAATCATCTGGCATGAAGAAGAATCCCGTTCTCCTCGTGAATTTGCTGACCTGCAGATGTTCAATTTGCAGTGACAAAAAACCCTGAGGGTAACAGGTACAACAGAAGCAAACACGAAATTATGATTCACGCTGTGCAAACGGCAGTGAAAGACACTGTAATCCCCAGGTTCCCTCAACGGTACTTTACGTGTGCTGCGGTCATGACACGCTTTACAGTCCTCGGTCCATCCCTGTAACGTGTCCATGCACCCTCTACGCCGACCGTCCACCCATTACATGCTCTATTAGATCCACTTCTGCTCACCACGGGATCCACGACGAAGAGATACCGCAAGGAGCTGCCCAAGATCCTGATGTCAATGAACGGCGGTGGCGCGGCGGAAGTGGAGGAAACGACGATGTGGTACGCAGTGTCGCATACAAAGGCCAAGAAGGAAAACTGGACACGTTCCGTGGTATCAGCGAATGACGAAATTTTAGATCGGATGGGGAGGTGAGGGTGAGTCATTTTTCACCCGTTTTCTTCGTGGCTGAGGCTAATTCGTTGGAAGAGTGCAGATACATATTATTCTCTATCTCTTGGAGCTATCACTACCCGGACCCGCTCCAACCCCTCCAGCACCTTTGAAATTGCCAAAGAAACGCAAGCGGCCTGTTCGTCCGCAGCCGGCTGTCCCCCTTCTCACCTTGAAAGACAGTCTGGAAGTCTTCGCTGTCAATGTGTCAGTTAGTTGCCCGCATTGGCTTGTCGGTTTTGTGCGATATAAAGGACGGGCGCGACTGGATGCAGATATGCTGCCAAGACGTTATCGACTCTCAGTACATATTATGTCCCCTCGCAAATCATACCAAACTGATTATGGGGCTCAGATCAGGCATAACGCGGTACTGCCAGATTAATGTGACATCCTCCGGTTCAAAGTCTTCGCAGCTCTTGTCAGACCGCGCATCAGCCACTCCACGATCCACCTCCCCTTAAGTCTCCAAGACTCCCCAAAAATCAACCCGCGTCCTATCTACTTCTAGACAGCATTCCCCGGTACTTTCCACGACCTCAAGCCGCAGTAACACAACGAAACCACACGCGACTACACTTGCCCGTTCTCGCTCCCTGTCCATCTCTCTCGAGCAAGAACGAAGACAGGAAGAACGCGCGGGGAGCGTGGGGTCGATAAGAAACGTGTGTTAAACAGCGAGGTTAGCATGTCGCGCGTTGTTCAAGCCCATGCCCAAGATGCAACGGACGGAGGGCAAGAAGGAGTTAGCGGTTGGGAAAGGGAAGGAGAAGGCGGGTGGGAAGACGACCGACCTCGAGGGACGTGGGTGCGACTTTTGTGGAAGGGACGCCTGTTAAGCCGCGTGCGATGTTTTCTTCGCGGTTTCAAGTGCAATGCTAGGTGGATTCACAACCGACAGGAGTCAACGACTGGCGACCGGTCGGTCTAGTTCGTCTTCATATTGGGCTAGGAATGATTGGTTTTGGGAGGTCCAAAATGGGCGATGAGGAAGCTTTGGAAGACTCGGGCAATTCTCTCCAAAAACAATCGTTTTTGCCTATTTCGTCGTCGGTCAACTCGATATCTTGGACTCACGCGATGCCGTTGTCTGCTGTGATTGTGTCAAAACGAGCCAATGGCATCGCTTTCTGGGCTCTTTGATTGTTTGACATAAAATCACTCGGACGTTGCGCAAGACCTGCCAATCACCAAAATCGTGAAGATACTCTTCCCTCCAGCACGAGAGAAGATCCTCGCAGTTCGCGCCACCGCGCCAAAGACAGTCAGCCGGCGTGGCAAGGCAATCTTCAGAGCCTTGAAAGCCGAAGTAGAAACTATGCTGGTCCTCCTCTCGCATCTGGCGAGTGGGTCCTTCGTGGAGTGCCAAGTACGTTCTGCACTCGTGTTGGATATCAGACTTTCGGAACTCGGCATGTATTATGTCTTTTTCCCTTTTTTTCTGGTGCTCATGCTCATTGAATTTGTTTTTCCTATCGGGTACAGGTACGTCAAGCGCCGATATGATGCCCACAAAGCTATGGAACTTCGGCTGGCCATAGGGGCTTATTGTCAACAAGCGATGGTATGTTGTCTTTTCCTCGGTTTCTCGATATTTCATTGATCATCTGGCGGTCGAAATAGATCATCGGAGGTCGTTGTCTTTTTATCTTCTTTCTCTATGCGGCCTGCTATCAAACGTGGTACAGGAAGACCGCTGAGGGCGCGATGGCCGCGAATACACGAGGTATGTGCTTTCAAATCAGTATCGGGAGCACATATTGACAAACGCCAGTTTTGCCCACCGTTAGTCTTGGACACTTTGAAGACTTGATGACGTTTGTGTATGGGTTTTGGCTGCTTTTGTTCAAGTGTGCGTCAAGAGCGTCCGGGGTCTGGATTTGGGAATGCTGCTACTGGATATGTAGATTGTTCAGGTTGGAGAAGTATTGGAGGACCTGTAACTAGGCTATGGTTTTTGCCCCATTGCTGAAATTTAGCCGAATTTTTCGATGGGATATCTATGAAATTAGTATACTGAGATCTTAGGATTTAAATGATGGCGGCTCCTCTTAGGAGGACTAGTAGTCTCTAGCCTCGAATGAGAATGTATTTTTCCATGTTTCCCTGTGATAGATAGACGGGTAGAAGGATTGCATTATAATAGAGAGACATACAAAAAAGGGGGTAAGTATGCATAAGGAAACCTTTACTTATCATAAGCAATGTGTAACAGAACAAAATGGGAAGTATTCGGAAAAAGAAGAGGATTGTCGATAAAGAAGCTGAGGCAATAATGATAATGATGATACAAGAAGAATCCTAGAAAAACCGTAAGACGACGTTGAAAAGGAAAGATAAACTACCTACCATAAGGATTGAAAGCCCAACTTGTCGATTAACAGGTGCAGTTGGGTATTCCGGAGCTCATGAAAAGATGCAGTACGCATTATTCCCTCTTCCACCTGACTCTTCGTCAACGGGTATCGTAAAGATAGTGTTGTCCTCAGCATCCGCAGAATAAGTGCTGTATGTTGTGAACGCGTCCATCGGTAGGTGTTGAAGCAACGGGAAATGCGTTAAGACGTCAAGAGGGAGCGTACTGAGAGGATTTGGCTGCTTTTGTTCAAGTGTGTGTTAAGAGCGTCCGGGGTCTGGATTCGGGATCGCTGCTACTAGACATGTAAATTGTCCAGGTTGAACAAATGTCCTGTAGGTTGGCTGGGAGGAGTATCGGAGGAGCTGTAACTAGGCTATGCTTTTTGGGACCTTGATGCGGGTGGAGATGGACTTTCCCGCATAGCCGAGGTGTTCGACGGGGTGTTATGGAACAGCACGGTTGTTGTAACTGCGGTCCATCTTAGGAGAGGACTGTATCTCTAGCCTCGAGATGAGAAAAGAGGCCCCCAGCCCTAAATGACGACGAAGCAGACCGTCCAGTCGCTTGTCGTTGACTGCCGGTTGTGAATTCAGCTAGGATTGCACTTTAGACTGCGAAGAAGACCTCGCACACGGTTTGGCCGGCGGTTCCTCCACCAAAGTCACGCCCACGTCCCTCGAGCTCGTCTTCCCACCCGCCTTTTCCTTCCCAAGTGTAGCCGCGTGTGGCTTCTTTGCGTTACTGCGGCCTGAAGCCGTGGAAAGTGCCGGGGAATGCTGTCTGGAAGTAGATAGGGCGGAGGACGGTCAGCGGTTAGGGTAGACGGATCGTTCGGTGGCTGGGGAGGTGGCACATTGGTCTGGTAGTACCGCCTTGTACCTAATTTGAGGCCCAGAATCAGTTTGGTACGATTTTTGAGGGGACAAAAAACGTACTGAGGCTCAGTAATGTCTTCGCGGAATATCTGCATCCAGTCGCGTTCGTCCGTTGTACCGCGCAACTTGCTTAACAAGCCAAACTGACGGCTAACTGTCACAGCGGCAGTTTGTCCATGAAGACTTTCAGATGGACTTCCAAGGTGAGAACGGGGACAGCCGGCTGCGGACGAACAGACCGCTTGCGTTTCTTTGACGGTTCCGAAGGTGGTGGAGGTGTTGGGCGAGTCCACGTCCGGTCCTCCTCCTCGGCCTTTTCATGCGACACCGCCTCTCCATTTCCCCCACGCCAACACCGTTCATCAGGATCTTGGGCAGCTCCTCGCGGTATTTCCTCGTCGTAGATCCTGTCGTGAGCAGAAGTGGGTCAAAAGCGCGTGTAAGGGATGGATGGTCGAGGTAGAGGGTGCGTGCACGCGTCGCAGGGATGGACTGAGGAGGTGTAGAGGCATTATTGACTGTGAAGCGTGTCAGCACCGCAGCACACTTGAAATGAAGTAGATGGAACCTTAGGGAGCCGGTACGTTCGGAATCTTGTGTTTCTTCGTTTCGGTCGAAGGGGAAGAAGTCAGTTGAGATGCTTTTCTCTTCAACCGTAGACCAGGTCACCCTTCTGCTTGTATGTAGAGGTCCGTGAGGTTGCCATTTGATTGTGCGACTGAGAGAGGGCAACTCCAGCACAAACGGAATTCCTAACAAACATCGTCATCATGTCTGAGATTGAAAGGTGTGCTCAACACGTGGAAGTATTGGGGGTCTCCGGGCGTCAGGTACTCGTTTCTTTCCTTCGCCCACTTCAGATTCCTTCCATCTACCAGTGTCTTCTCCACCTGAGCATGAGCGAAACGAATATTTTTCCGGGCGCTCGTGACGTTGTCGTGAGCGGCACAATCTATGCAGCCAGCACCGTGCGTGAATCTGTCGGGTTCTAGTTCGTAGAGCAAGCTGATGGCCTGGATTTCTCGCAGATAAACATCTATAACAACTTAGCGATATCTGATGCGGTAATCCCCCTTGTGCCAAACCCGAGCACTCGGTTCACAGGTCGAATGGAGATTATCAAAAAACTCAAGGAACATTTTTTCGCTAATTCCACGGATGGTGTTCAGAAAAGAAAGTACTTTCTACTGCATGGAATGGGAGGTATTGGAAAGACTCAGATTTGTTTGAAGTTTATTGAGGAAATGTCTGATGAGTGAGCACATTATCACATGTGCCTGATCTTTGTTGCTGAAGGCTGCTACCCCCAGATTTTATACTGTTTTCTGGATTGATGCATCTTCTGCTGGCAGCATTCTACAGGGGCTTAAGGGCATTTGTCTTCTTCCTGAAGCTAAGGCTTTGGTATTGAATGGGTCACCTGAATCTGCTCTGCACTGGATTGGCTCTCTGAAAGAGAACTATCTCATGGTCTTTGATAATGCTGATGTTCTATCTCCTGCTGAGCTAGAGGGATATTTTCCACCTGGTAGATGGGGAAACATTCTGATCACTAGTCGCAATGCTAGCATGCAATGCTTGACTTTGCAAGAGAATTCTCTTGAGGTGACACAGTTGGAAGAAAGGGATGCTATTGTACTACTTCTGAAAGCTAGCTGTTTGAGTATGGATTTTAAAGCTGAAGCTTCTATGGTTGTGACAGAGCTATGTTGTTACCTCTTGCT